TTACAATATGCAATCTAATCTGATCTGATGACCACTACAACAACAACACATGCATAGAAAACAGAAACAATGACAACAGAGACAATGAAGGATGAATAATTCATGATCTGATTTAACATGAAACTCACCCTCGATGGACATAATTTTCCTCAGTTCTCTATTTAACAACTCAAATCTTCTCTCCAAGTCCTGCTCTTGTTCTCTGTAGAGAATGAGAAAAGATCCACATTACTCTAGGTATTGACAAATGATCTCCTCAATATCTCTTTAATTTGAAACCTTTATCAACATTTTATTTTCAGTCCTATACTCCCCATTAGATTCTATCTGATATAGGGACAACTGAATCAATCACAAATAAATATGTGTTAAAATGTTAGGTGAGGGAAATCAGGTCTAGCCTTTTGAAAATGACCTAGGAGCTAAAACCTTCATTCTCCAGAACACAGAAACACACAGTTGATTAGAAGCGCTATGCTATTAAGATATATTCAAAATGGTATGGAATAAGAAAGTGAGAATAAAGTATTTTAAGTCTTGATTTGGGTGAATGATAATTAATAATTTCCTCGAATAGAAAATTGAGATTTCACAGTTGTCATGTTGTGTTCCCTGGGGACATATACAATGCATGCTGAAACAGAATTCAAACACAAACACTTACCAGAATAAAATTAAATAATACGAGATGTATGAATCATATTCTATAAAACTGGTTTATGCAGCATTAAAGCTTTTAATAGAGGCACTGAAAGTGACAATACAAACAAATAAATGCTAATAACTTACAGTATACTCAGTTGTTCTTGGCGACGAATGAGAGCATTTTTTTTGTTCACCAGGGTGAACCATTCCCGCATCAGTTCAGCTTCTTGTTTTGTGCCTAGAAGGCAAAACACAGATCAACTGTACATCAGATCAACTCCCTAAGTATGATACATAAGTTATGAAATATGATCATGCCAATCTCTGCCTATCATGTGCATTACATTTAATTTAATAAAACTTTAATTGTAGCTAATCTCTTGGTAGTGGTACCGTAATATTTTTCGGTCTCACACAGCATCCAATATTACATTCTGTCCCCCCCCCCTCCCTTCAGGTGTTACATATACCTGACATGTGATATATTAAAATAATAATCCATTTTTCAATATTCTTCTCAGGGTCACATGTCCACTTTAATCCTTCCGTTCTGGTACCCATAAGCCCGAGAGTAGTCTTTTATTCATAGTTGGGTAAATTTGCTAACTTGAAGGTAATCTAGTTTTTGGTTTTTCAAGGGACAACTGAAGCTGGTCTAATTATTCAGAGTAACAAATCAAGTATAAATAGTCTTATTTACAGAAGATTATATCGGAAACTGAACAGTAATTCCATCAGACAATGGGAACAACAGAAATTCAAGAAAATATCATTAATATTAATTGGAATCAATGAACAGATCATGAAAAGAAACTATTCTCTATTGCTGAAATTAAAACCACAAATGCCCACATCTGTTCACTTCATATCACGTGTGACCTCTCGAAAGTCAGATATCATTTCAAATAAATGGTCATTCTTATTAGAAAACAATATATTTTAGAATTAAATTTCACAGATATGGCTTTATAATGTTGCCTAGAGGGGAGAGAAGACATGAAGTACTTCTTGGAATAGAGACAACATTTACTGAACACTAAAGGTTTAGACAAGATGCCTGTAAATGTGAGTACGGTAAAAACAAAAACAGCTCTACATACAAAGTACAGTCCTTATATCTAGTTTAAAAACGACGTCCTAAATGAATCCTAATAATATATATGATATAGCAATAGTATAGTCTAAAGCAGTGTAATAATTATCTACATGTGTAATAAAAATCCCAGCAATCTGATTGTCCATGCAAGAAGATTGAACATTTGACATCATGGTTTAGTATCAGCAAATGCGCTAATATCTCAAGATGTTGGTGGTTTTACAAAATATTTCTTGAAATACTATTAAGAATTATATTAATTTGAATATGTCTGGTAGATTCAAAGGTCTGTTAAAACTTATATGGTAAAGCCAATTTGCCATTTTTCAAATAATATAATGTAATTTTTGCTTTCTCCATGTAAACTGGCAATTGTTATGTAAAGGCCATGGTTTAAATTGACTACAAAATTTAATGTTACCAAAGCATCTATGAAACCATAAATATAGTGATGGCTAAAAAATATCCACTACATAAAATACAAGTTCTCAAGGCACTGGCAAGATATCTGATCACATCCATATATTTATCAGCAATGGAGAATAATGTTTTACTTGTACTATGGAAGACAAACTATTTTAGCTCTGCTGTGTAAAATTGAAAGCAACAGCATTATTAAATAGTACATGCCCATTTCCTATTTGTCAAAACCGTCAGTTTGATTAATCATGTCGTAATTAGTAGATCACCACATTATAACAAAACATAAACAAATCTTAAAAACAATTTTTTTTCTTGAGAAACAGGAATAATTTGGAATGCTACTCAAAACTATGTTTTCATGATGTGGGAAATGATAAGTCTGATTTCAATGGAACATCACAGTTGATTACTGATATTTTGTCAATTAAACTATAGGCACTTGTTTATGTTTTGCATGATTGTGTGTGTTCGCAATGGCTAGTTAGCCTTGGGTTGGCAAGAAGTGGTCATTCCCACCCAGAAATAAAATAACAGCATTTGTTTGTTGTTATTCAATATATATGGACATGTCTCAGTTATTAAAACAACTTATCAGCAACTTTGGTGAGCTAGTTTCGATCAGTGTTTTCGCATGCTGGTTGGCAAAAATGTTAACAATGGCGTCACAATGCTACAGCCTATATTTCACCTTCGAACTGGGAATTAACAAACTCATTCCCTTGAATGTCTAAAAAACAGTTTGTTGACATTCCATGATGTTATAGTTTATGACAATAATGACCACCAATGGGTTAAATTCCATCAAAACAAAAACAAATTAAAACTAAATTGACATGAATATGTATCAAACTTGTTTTTAGAACAAAATTGGTCAAGGGGTGTCTGAGAGTTGATGTGTAACGAACAGAACTTATAACATATGTCCCCATTTCGAACTATTTCGAAATATTTTGTGGGGAAATGCACTTTCAATACAATAAAAACAAAATTAGGCAATACTGTTTTAGCTAAAATTCAATAACTTATTCGTTTAAGTTTTTCTCAGTATGGAAAGACAATGTAGGTTTGGTTAC